CAGCATTATTTCTAGCTTAGTGAGGTAAATGAGTGCGTCCAGTTGCCGGGGATCGAACCCCAGACCATATGCATGGTCGGCGAGCGTCTTAACCGCCGTGCCACCGACGCACAGTTATACATTACTACGTTTGAAAACAATTATCAGATACCCCGAATATTTCTGCAAATGTTTCTTTTCATGCTAAACAGAGGCTTTTTATGGTAATAAACAGATCTGCTTGAGCACACTGCATTGTCATATGGAGACACCTAATAGCTGCAATATACACTTCGTCAGGTAGACTTCCAGTGAACCTGTAACATTATTTAAAACGATAATTTATGGTTAGTTCCAGTTGTAGGTATCAGTATTGCAGCCTGGGTGAAGAATATTCTTCGCGTAGTGTGATTAGGACACTCAATAACAAAAAGAACTGAATTCACTGTTCTGTCTACATTTTTAACTAGCTAGATATCAAGTGGCGTTCGCCTATCAGTTAATTTCCGTATAAAAACATGTTTTCCACAAGTCGTAAATGTTCTGCAACCATTAAAGATTTATTACATTTAAAAAAAAGAAACATATTTTTTTTTGTATGGATGAACTGATTCTTTGCTGACTGAAGAAGATAAATAAAATAAGGACACACAAGAGGAATATAGAAAGTGAAAGAGACAAGAAGTTAATCAGGTCTAGTGAAAATTATCCTCATAGTAGGATTTATTCAAGCAATATATCTATGTATAGAACCTGCAAAACATATGATGGAGGTTAATTTTAAAGCAAAAGGCTAGATGAAAGATCAAGCGTAAGAAGAAAACTGTTCATGTTATAGTCATAAATATTTCTACTATAAAAGTTGCTACTTCTTTTAAACACGCTTGTTCTTTTTGGTGTTGTAAGATTTAATGAAGTGATGCATGCTCACATTTGACTAGACAGAATCAATATGACTACGGTAGACTGGATAATGCGACAGACAGCAGGCACCGAGGAGACACGCATAAAATGAACCCACAGAAAAGACTTGGAGGATTTGGACTTCACCGATGATATATATCCGGTTTCCCACTGGATGACAGGCAAGAGAAAAGCAACAAATTGGCAGAACAAACATCATAGAAAGGCCTTCAAATGAACATAGAGAAAAAAAGGTAGGTGATGAAGATTCCTGGCCAACAGCAACAACAGCAGACAACAATCAGCATAAATGGGAGGAACCTGAAAGAAACAACCTCCTTCACCTACTGACCTACCTGGGAAGCATCGTTTCAACTACAGGCGAAACTAACGAGGATATCAAAGCAAGGATCATCGGGAAAGCAAGACGAGCCTTCACTACGCTCAAGTCTATGTAGAGATCAACAGCACCCCTCAGCATGAAAAATAAAGTTCGGATTTTCAACCCTAATGTGAAGTCCGAGCTACTTACCATACGGATCAGAGACTTGGCGTGTCATGAAGGGCACTTAAAACGAATTGTAGACCTTAATCAACAGCTGTCTTCACTCAATACCACTCAGTATTATATGGGAGCGAACCGACCCAACAGGAACCAATTGTGGAACAATTAAGCGAGCAGAAATGTTGGTGGATTGGTCATACTCTAAGCAAACAAACCATCAAGAGACACTAAACGCCAGGCCACTGCTCAAGGGGAACGCAGAAGGGAAACGTCGAGTTAGCCGTCAGTTCGGAAGTAACATGGAGGAGGTCATGTGGAGAGGAGATGAAAGCATGTGGTCAGAGGTGTGGCTAGGTGAAAACGCTGGCTGAGTACCGAACGTAATGGAGACATGTGGCTAAAGCCCTACGTTCCTCTAAAAACTAAAGGAGACAATCGTAATAATATGACAGTTGATACCTGTATCTTTTACTTTGCTGTGCTGGATTTGTTTTTGTCACTCAGTCTTCCAGGCTTCATTTTGATGAATTCTGTGGTTTTATTACCAAAGTATGCGCGTTTGAATACCTCAAGTGATTTCGGTTTTTGTGGGACTGCATTCGTTGCTTCGCTGATAAGTGTCATAAAGTGTAATACCAAGTTCCAGAACCTCATGTCAGCTAGCTGAAGTCCTTCATTAAAGAACTTAGTGTCTGTCGACCACTCTGCTGAAGAATATAGTCTGTAAAAGGTTCACCGAGATTGTTCATTATGAGCAGCATTCATCAAATGAGGAGTAAAACTTCAGCCTGTTGTACAGGTGTTACCAAGCTTTTCCCTTAAACAAATAATCAGTATATTAGAAATTTTATAAACCAACAGTTGATTTTCCTCTGGCTATGTTTATCCCATTCGATGAGTGTCAGGACTGATTTTACTTTGTCAATTTTAATTAATATGAATAATTTTTCATTTGTACTCTTGTTATTCTAATTTTTAATCAATTTCGGAGTACCACAATAATTTAATCAGATCTATTCAGACCTTAAATTTATTGCTTATAAACATTTTTATCATTTAGTTAATATGCACGGAATCAATAACCATTTTATTGACTGATAGAGATTACATCATGCAACGAGTCTTTTGTATTAGGTTTCACATTGTCATAATTGGTATATATATACATATGCAGTTGTGTAGATCAAAATTAAAAGATCACTTAAATATTTGGTTGGTTACATAATTTACCAGTTGAGGTGTTAAACAGCTCGGTTGGGATCATTTATCTCTAAGATAAATTGGAACAAAAAGAGGATCATAGAACCGTAGAAAACACGGGAGTATTGGACAGCTGCTTCATCCCGGTTTGGCAGTCATCGGCAATACGCACCCTTGTGGGTTCTGAAACCAAGATCTTCCAGTTACAAGACAAGCTCGTATACCATTCAGCCACTGGAACCCGATTCAACGGCCGACTTATGAATTATAACATCTACCAGTTCGCAATTATAGTGTCATCTGCGGGAACTCCATCCTCATGGGACATTGAATCGGGTTCCAGTGTCTGAATGGTATACCAGCTTGCCTTGTAACTTTAAAGTGCTGGTTTCAGAACCCGGTGGGTGCGTACTGCCAATGACTGTCAAAGTGAGATGAAACAGCTCTCCAATACTCCTTTGTATTCAATGGTTTTCTAACTAATATCAATCCGTGGTCTAACCTGAAAAAAAATAGAATCCCTACCAACTAGCCCTTGAAAAAAATGATTTGGCAATTCATGCTTAAAAAGCAGGAAAAGTTAAAAGAGGTGAAGCATGACAAAAATCAATTAGTGTACCCAGATTGTTGAGATATTTTTTGAAAATAACAGTAAGACAACGTCGTAATTATTAGCATCAATTGTGAGGAATGGTAGGCAGGTTACATACATATATATTCAAAGCTTGCAGCTATTAAAACGATTTCAATCTAGCCGCTTAAGATAATCTCAATCAGTGAACTTAAAAGTGAATGAAATAATTTTTTATGCAGTTATCGTAACATAATAAATGTTACTATCACATTAATTTTAGATGTAATCTCGACTATACGGACAGACACAATTAACTACTTATTAGAGATTTATCAGAAAATACTTTTTACTCAATTAACAGTTAGTAGTTTAGATGCTTTAATTCACCTTGAGTTAACAGAATGATAATCATTTCATTATACTAATACTAAGGTAATTTTTAATAGTAATTAAGTCATCTATCCCTGTCTGAGTGAGTAGTCAGAAATGCACTGGACGACGGATGAGAAGACTCTAGAAGATCTGAATTTCGCAGATGATATATGTCAAATGCCACAGAAACTCGAAGACTTGCAGACGAAATCCAACAAACTGACTGAAGAAGCAGGCAGAAAAGATAGGACTCCATGTGAACAAAAAGAAGACGGAGGTTGTGAAGATAACCAACGAACCGCTAAAAGCAGGAATCACCATCAACGGGAGAGATTAAACATAGGTTACTTCGTTCAATTGTCTAGGAAGCATCGTTTCAACTACAGGCGGAGCGGATATAGATGTCATAGTGTTATGTTGCTGCTGCTGAGTGGTTAATAGTAGTTTTCCCCGTCGCCAAATTATTATTATGTACCGGTCTAGAATTTAATAGTCCTGACGCAAGAAAGACGGAAATCAGAAGACCACTAGGTTTGCGATGATACTTCTATTTTCCAAACACAAGGAGAATCAAATCACACAAGAGTGTGAATGCAATATATATATATATTAATGTCCAGACAAGTTTGTGAACAAATCAATAGACAGTCTTAACATGAATGGCTAATTATAATGGAGTATCGATCTATATATACATAGCAAAATATAGCAGACATATCAACAAACATACATATTATATGGATATATGTCACCAAGGACAGACTGTCAACAAACACACATATTATATATAATATAAGGGGAATATACATTGTTAAAGGAGACAGGTTCATCAAAGTGAAATGGTCACAGACTAAGAGAGCAATAGAAAGAGAGACCACCATACATATATATATATATATGGATACATATCACCTCCCCTTTTGAGAAGATTGATGATTAGTAGGATGTTTTCCTGGGGGTTTATCCAGAACCTTTGAGCTTGTTGTTGACGTCTGTCGTTTCGTCTGCGTGTTGGGTTTGCGGCTTCGGCTTCGTCCGGAATTGTCTGACATTTTATGCTTCTTGACTGCATTGAATAGCGAATTTAGTGGGACATCAGCCAGATGCAAACGATCGAACCAATCAAGTCCCAAAAGATTTAAATCACTCTTGGTGACGTAGCAAATTCCTGCGAATTTGGTATTGCGGAATGAAACAGCACATTTGAGTTCACCAATCAGTTTGAGCCGCCCACCACAGGTGTGGTGAGAGCAGGCTGCTAGCCGATTGGTTGGCACTAATCTACGTTAAGGTCTAGGTCACTAATATGGGCCGTGAGAAAATATGAACAAGCCTGAGTCAACAACCAATCACAGCAAAGTTAACGTGGCAAAATATGATTCGCAGATAGAGAACTCTATTTGTCGAGGAATCCCGAAACAACCAATCAGAAGCCTGCGTTTGTCTACCTAAACAACCAATCAGATGACTGCGCTTGTCTATAATAATGTAGTTGAAAGATGTATAAATACGTGTTGATTTTCATAATAAAACGATATGTTGCCTGGCCCTTGTCTTCTGTTGTTACATTTGGTGTCGCTGCCTACCGACAAATGAAAAGCCTATACCCTGCAGTTTTTGATGGAGACATATGGATCTTCGGGCAGGACTTCAAGGCTTCTGCGCAGTTGAGTGGCGTTCAAGATCTGTCAGCGATGGAGCTGCTACTTGAGACGCTGCTGGGAGGTCGGGCGAAAGCAGCATATGAAGGTGTGGGCCGAAGTATGGACGAATGTTCGACAGGGTCAGGCAAACAGTTTCCAAAGTGGGAAGGACCATATATGGTCACTTCGAGATGGGATTACGCGGACACAATCGCAATGACGAACAATGAGAGGCGCGTGAACGTCAGCGAGCTCCAGAAATGGATACAGCGAGACAAGCCAACGATGACGCCTGCACCAAGTAGATCAAGCCGACTTCAGTCGCACGTATTTGACGGGGGGACGAGTGTGGTGAGAGCAGGCTGCTAGCCGATTGGTTGGCACTAATCTACGTTAAGGTCTAGGTCACTAATATGGGCCGTGAGAAAATATGAACAAGCCTGAGTCAACAACCAATCACAGCAAAGTTAACGTGGCAAAATATGATTCGCAGATAGAGAACTCTATTTGTCGAGGAATCCCGAAACAACCAATCAGAAGCCTGCGTTTGTCTACCTAAACAACCAATCAGATGACTGCGCTTGTCTATAATAATGTAGTTGAAAGATGTATAAATACGTGTTGATTTTCTTCTGTTGTTACACTGACAAGAGTCTGGGAAGTATTTGTGATAGGTGGTCTGCCAATATCATTCCAAAGTGTCTCTGATATAACAGTTATATCAGAGGCGGTATCTAACTGCAGACGTGTATCATGACTATTCATCTGAAGATCAAGATACTTCCGCATACCCGGTGTTGTGACTTGACAGGTTGCGAGTAGACTCAATGATCTCCTTGAAGATTTAGGACTAACAGTTTGTCGAGCTTTCGCTGGATTATGATATCTGGGTTTGCGTGGCTGACAAAAACCATTTTTATGGCCGATGATTTTGCACTTGCTGCAACGATGATTTTTGTATGGACAAGACTTTACAAAGTGCCACGCGCCACAATGCCAGCATGGTGATGGTGGGGTCTTCTTTGCAGTATTTTGTGAAGTTGGACGATAATGTGTAGATTTACGCGGAACATTAGGAGAAGGTGGGTCAGGACTGGATGATGAGAGATTTTGCTCTTTCGTAATGCATGAATATCAGAGCTTCTCAAAGTTGTTGATTCGACCAGGTGTGTGTCATTCTGCAAATTAATCAGCCGTTGATATTCATCAGCTATGTCATGTAATGTTAACTTAGGATTTTGTTCTAGCTGATTGAGCAGTCGAGTTCGGATATCTGTGAAACGAGGAGATTGAAGACTGCATATGAGAATCAAGGCTTTGAATTGATCATCTGTTAAGGACCTGAGTCGAAATCTCTCACATTCTCGGTTGACTGTGCCAACATGAGTAAGAAAATCATCATTTTCATTCATTGTCAGCTTGAGGCAACGATAACGTTTGCTGAATAATGAGGAGTGGTCTCCAAAATGTTCACGCAGCAGCTTTATTGTATCATCGAAACTCTTGTCACGTGGTTTTTGGGGTAAAATTAGGTTGCAGTACCTTTCATATTTTGCGGGACCCAATTTAAGTAATAACACTCGCACCTTCCAAGCATCGTCTTGTGAGGCGAGATCAACTGTGAATAAATCCTCATATCGTTCATACCATGTGTCAAAAGTGACATTCGCATCTGGATTATAATTGAACTGTGAAATACTATTCACAATGCCGTCGACAGATGGTAACATGGTATGATTCGGATTGCTTGAAGGTGAAGTTGGACCAGTCTGTTGGTTGACGAACATTTCCATTAATTTCATTTGTTGTTCAAATAGTAATTCCAATTTAGAAAAGTCCATAGTTTTCCCCGTCGCCAAATTTTTATGTACTCGTCGCCAAATATATATATATATACATATATGGATACATATCACACAGCCAGCCAGAATCCTAATGTCAAGATACACCTTCATCAACCTGAAACCAAATTTTAAAATTCCTGCACTCATCATAAACACTATGATTTGGATTTTCAACACGAATGTGGAGTTGGTCCTTCTATACGAGCAGAAACTTGCACTACGTGTCACGAAGAGTATTTCCAACAGCCTGTTGCAGACTTTCCTCAACAGCTGCCTTCACTGGCTCCATACTGAAGATCAAATGATCAGAAAGAATAAGCAACAAGAAACTGTGGGAACAAAACAGCCATGAGCCAATCTCTCAAAAAATTTCCAGGAGAAATCGGAGACGGTGGAGGTCGTTGGCTGATATCACGTGCCAGGCAATGCCTCGAGTGGAATCCGAATGAGAAGCTACGAGTGTGTCGTCGGTGTGACGGTGATATGGAAAAGGTGGTGTGAGGGGGAGATGAGAGATTATGAACACACATACGACCAGCTAAAGAGGAAGATACAAAGTAGAAAAAAGTGGAGATGTGTTGTTGGAGCTCTATGTTTCACTCGGAACCCAAGGGAATAATAATATAATATAATAATCCCTGTCTGATGGACTCCTAATCTCCATCTAGCTTATTAGCTGGCAGTAAGTTACGAAAAGGAGGGAGGTTGGACGTAAGGCTAGTAAACCTACTCTGTAAAAACAACCATCACCACCACACCGCAAATTCAAAGCCTGAACAACTCTGTTCCAATTGTAGTGTAAAGGAAGTGCGAAAAGACTAGGTACAAGGTACATATTTCAAAGAAGATAGTTAGAATATAGATGGCAACCCTGAAAAGTGGTCGCTGAATCATATGTAGAGAGGTTCTAACCATTTTGTTTCAAAACCAGTTATCAAGCGTATTCATTAAAACAGTCCACACAACACCGATAAATACTAGGGGGAAAATAAACACCAACAATTTTGATCAAGAATTTTCTGCCCATTAATTCCCTGCATTAATACCTGCACGTGATTCGGGACTCGATTCCGGTACGTGCGTACCTTTACCTCCTTAAGCCGTTTGTAAGTTAGAAAGAAAGAAGGTTGGACATGAGGCTAGCAATTTCACCTGGTAAAGAGGACATCATTGCTACTGAAACTTCAAAGCTCAGTCTCGAACCCTTATATTCCACCCAGGGAATGATGTGACATACATGATACATTACGATATTATTTAGTACTTGACTGCCATACTTCAATCGGAATTTACTAAATACTTGGGAGGGGGGGGAAGTGACACTTATGGTGAAACTAACTTGTAAACAACCCCAGGATCTTGGAAGTTTGACCTCAAAAATTAGAGAAGTCACTGCTTCATATTAGAATCGCTATACTTTCTAGACTGAAATAAGTAAGTGAAGTATAAATTCATTAGAAGAGAATTTTTGTTGACGGAAGAACGCACCGTGAACTGAATTTTCATGGTAGAACTTTGCATAAATATGCAACAGGTCATTCAAACAAAATTCATAAAGCCATACATGAGAGTAGAAAAAGAAGTTCAGAGAAACGGAAATTTTTTGGAGGGAGAATAATAGGGATATAATGATGATAAATATTGAATGTATCAACACCACTAAGAAAAATTGTGAAACATCTCCAGGTATTTGGTTTTTGTCTTTTCGAGGACCCCAGTCAAGGGGTTCATATTCCGCTACATGACTGAAATGAATAGTAGAAGACTCCTTCCATCAGTATCTTCATCCACCCATCCTTAACCCCTTTAAATTCTTATCCCTTAACAGCTGATATTGCGACTGAGGAAGACGATTGCTCAGAATGCATATAACATGTTGTAGGCATTTTAACTGATGCGGCTTCATAACCTCATTTACTGATCTTTTATCCTTATCTAACACTTTACGCCTAACGTCGATTTTACTGACCAAAAAGTATCGCTTAACACTAGAAACTAAACTCAAACATTTGCGGTAAGTGATAGCTAGCTTCTCCATATCTTACACTTTCTATGGACACATATGGCAATCTTAAAGACAGACGGAGAGAGCTGCACACATGTCCTTTGGTCAGTAGCTGAATATCATATCTGTGCCAGAAATGACTGAAGTTGTGAAATGCCAAACGAGCTGTTTTGCATCCGAGCTGAGATTTCGTCGGCAATCAGTCTATGAGAGCTCAGTCGTTCCATCCCCTGTCATTAAAACTGGGAGTCAGTGCAGATCACTTCTGAAGTATAATCTTACATCTTATAGGGACAAGTTGTATACCAAACACAAGATCTTCGCCATCGTATTCACCTGGAAGGATTAAACTGTCAACAGCCTGTGAGTCGACAAGATTAGTCTATGCTAACGAATCAACCCATGAATCATTATGGTCGATCAAGGTCACCATTCATCCCTTCTGATGACAACTCTCATAAGCAGTTACTCCACTGCATCAGTCTGAGTACAGTGCCTTGATTAGTGCCATGTACTTTCAAGGTATTCCCTTTACATTTGTACACTACCACAACACCTCTTAGTCAACGAAGTGAAATATCGTTTTCTTCAGGTGAAGAGATGTGTTAAGTTGTAAGTATTCTTGTATTCCAGAACCTTTTGAAGGTTGAAAATAATGTCAATACACCTTAGTCCTGGTTACAGGCCTTTTGATTAACTACTTAATCAAAATATCAGTTTATATTTTTTTCGCAGACTTATTCTTGTTAGGCCTAGAAACCAGTACCTTGCAGCAACATATACAAGAAACGGATGTATACCTAAGATATTTTGATGACATTTTTATTGTCTGTGGAAGCAGATCAGAATCCGAAGACATGTTGATATAATTCATCTCATGCCATCCAAATCTTAATTTCACAGTAGTGCACGAGGAAAACGATACTATTGAATTCCTAGACGTTTTTCTAGCGTAAATGAATAATGGCAAAATCGAAAGATCTATATCTAAAAAGTCTTCATGGACAGGACAGTACGTGCATTTCAAGAGCTTTGTTCCAATCCAATATAAAAAGAACTTAGTCAGGACACTGTTCAGTAGAGCACGAAAAATTTGTTCTGATAGTACTATTGAACATGAAATAAAATCTCTGAAGGATATTTTATCCAAGAATGGATACCCTGAGAAGTTCATTAATAAATACTCTAAAGAAATTAGCCCCTGCAGTTCCGAAGAAACCTGTCTATATCAGGAGATGATGTACGGGAAGTAGTCAAACGAAGACTAGACAAAGCCATTAAGAGAATTTATTATGCTGCAAAACACCACCAAGCGAGTGCTTCAACACTCTGGGATTGACCAGTCGCTAATCCTCGACACTTCAAACTGCGTTTATCAATTTGAGTGTTTGTGG